CATTTCCTGTCAGTATTATAAAAGTTAGACCGGCCAAGAAAGCGTCACAAATATGTCAGTCTATTCTATAGAGTCCCAATGCCGAGTTGTGAAGTTGACAGCTATTTTCGTTTTCTGCATCGGGCTTCACTACAGCGCTATTTCATGTGATATTTGCATGATGCAAGTTGGTTGGTGCCACTGCCTTTGATGAATATACGTCGTACTTCGTGCGCGCATTGCGCGCAGCCACCGAGTTTTTCGCTCCTAAATTTTGATAAATTTAACAGCGTCGGGATAAACAACACAAGTGAAGTTTTCTAAAGATTCTGGTAGAACGTTGTGAATATTTCACAGATTAGGCGACAATTGGTTGTTATTTTTTACTTGGACAGTTGTTGACTCACTTTCAAATCAGGGCGTTTATCTCAGAAAATTATAACCAACTTGGTATGCGCGCGCGAGAAGGGCAGTATATTTATAACCGGAACTTTCAGTCAACTGCCACCCATATTGACAAAGGATCTGAGGAGTACGCCAGGATACTTCGACAAACGAAAAATGTGTAAGATTTAAATAAATAATTAAAAAATAAATAAAGCTAACAATTAACACTATTGCGTGACTAGATAAGACGTCACGTAGTGCTGACATCAGCAGCCAAATCGTCACACAAATGCACATTAACTTCTCTACAGTTCAAACACAAAAAATATAACTTCTTGCGATTAAATATCTTCAGACACATTAACCATGCTAATTACTTTTAATGTGAATGTGAATTTATAAGTGAATAATTTTACTAGCAAGGTTAATTTCCAAGGCATGTTTTACAGCTCTCTACATTGTACGGACATAATGACTAGAATACCCTTCACCATTCAGTCGCCACGAAGGTAACCACATAACAAGAACGATAACATATACATTGTATGATAATTGGCTCATTTAGCGTTAATTTTTTTGCTCAGCTGACATATTAGCGCTCGATGCAACCGCTACTCATTTTCCCCTAACCCAACCCAAACCGACCCAACCTGTAACCACATGAATTCCATATAACTCAAAATCTATTAAACATCTGAATTCTCATTTCATATTAATAACGAGAGATATGAAAGACTATAAAGAAACCAAGTCGCTTTATATTGCCATGCCGATCCCTTTTTTCTTCTTCTTCTTCTTCTTTGGCTTTTTTTTCTTCTTTCTACACAGATACAATGCAATGATTATGGCATGTAACCAAGTAGAAAATTCTGGGGTCACACTAAACAGATCTTTGCAGATCTTGTTTATTACCCCGACGCTTGCATGTCCTTTAGATTCTTATCCGTAATACAATATTTTTATCAGCATTGCTTGCAGCTATTTCTCTTGATTGTCAGGAAACTTTGCGGCTGACGACCGGTAAAATGCCAAATTGCCCTCAGTCACTTGAATTACTTTAGTTAACGTTGTCAAAAATTATTACATTGACATTGACGCCTGTGTTAATAATTCTCTTCCTGTTGCAACCTAATCATGTTGTGCTCTTGTACCTTGTACAGAAAATCATCGACTTTTCCTTCAAGTAGGATTTAAGCTGTTTCCTCTTTTTATAGCTCAACTTGCCGTGTGGTCTCCAATGCAAATTTTTATAATTTCCGGAGCATTTTTAGTGAGTTTGGGTTCCTTTTATAGCTTCCCAATGTTCAAACCGACATGACCTTCACCTTTGTCGTGTACTCCATTGTTTCAGGCCTAGGATTTGAAAAGTTTCAAAACCAATTCGTTGCGAATAAATTTTTTGTGGTTTTAACTGAGTGGTTCAGTCAGCTCATGTCATGATACTTTCCGGAAAGTATTAGTTCTATCTACACTTTAATTTCTGCATGTGTTTCGTTACGCGCGAATCTAGAGTGCCTATGAAAGGATAACTCATTTCGTGATTGGCTGCGTTGCACAACTAGGACTAAATATTCCCGGGGGTAATTATGCAATAAGTGCACGTGTGTTCAGTAATAAATTCCTATGCATGCGGACTTGCAGCTGCAAGTCATGTCACATGTGCTTTTGGCATTCGACAGCAATCGTCTGGATGCGCTGTGGAGAATCATTGCCGCGAGCTGTTCCGGCGTTTCGTGATTTAAATTCCGCTACAAAACGACCTGTATTTGCAAGTAATGTCATTCTACCCACCGCTTTGTATATAAGCATTAGTATGGCATTCAAAACCTTCGTCTCTATGATGCCGCGACCTGGATACCATTAGCAATGCTTTATAAAAAGTGTAACATGATACTTTTTGCATGTCCAAACGTTAATAACTTAACGGGATTACCAAACCCCAGTCATTAATAGCCCATCTTATCAAACATCTGTACTATTTGATATCTTTATGACAAAGCATTGGTACGGACGCTGCTTGCACCAGTTCACTACGACCCACATACCCCAGTAACTAAGAGACGATCGTTTTCAGTCTCTTCAGTGAAAGCGTGTCCACTTTTTCACCAGTTTCTCCTCGCTCCCCAGCTTCTTTAATTACCAAGCTAGGTTTATCCTTGTCCTGCTAACTTGGATTTATGCCGGCTGACCGGATTTGAAAAGAGTTTTTAGCCTTGAGTTTTAAGACCCCTATTACATTCTAGTCACGGTGTGTCACTGTAGCATTTGTTTTCGACATTCTCTATCAGTAGGAAAATGTTTTAATCTCTTAATTGCCTATGGAGTGAATAACCGTTTTTGTAATCCCCAGTTGGTGTTGTGACTGTCGCTGCTATTTTCTAACGGTCTACTTATTTCAGTTTTTGGCATTTACACATGGTCTTGCTGAAACCCTTCTTATTGCCACCATTGCGGCCAAAAACAGGTCGCAGCGCGTCTTAGTTCATTGTCAAACACGTGTAGGATGTATTGTTACATCTGGTGGAATGTGTGGTGAGACTCAAGAACCTGCAAAAGACACAATACAAATGTTGGTGAATGGATTAGATTCTCTTCGTCAATCGAGGTTTTCCGCTTTGAACAACACCCAAAGTCAGACGCATGTCGTTTAAACGCATTTATTAATTTGCATTTTTTTAAAACCCGTAACGAATTCAAAACAAGAAAAACTAATTTGCCCGACTAAAAAGACATCTTTTCTAATTAAATGCGTTAAAGATATCAAATAATTATGGAAAAATAAAAACTCAGAATTACTAAAACCGAATCCAAAAAGAAAGGTCTTTACATTTGATTAAAAGTAACGACATGGCAAGTCCAGAAAAATCCATTACATGATCCAAAAGCGTTTCTGCATAAAATTTTAAGAAAGTTGATTCCAGCGTGTCTGATATTATCTGTTCGGAGCTAACTGTAGTTCTGACAGATGTTGTTTCTGTCTTGAGTTCGGCTGACAATTTTACCGACATCCTCTGATGGTTTGCCGAAACGCCATAGCTGACAGCTTCTCCGTTTTGCCGAAAATTAGCCCTCAATAAAAGCGCACCGCGTTCAAGCTAATATCAGGGCAACATAAAACTATTAGCTACATGTGTTTACCAATAATCGCTTTGAATATTATTGAGAAAGATGGAGTTTTTAATCTGTTAATAGATCTTCTTGCTTCGGGCAAGGATCCGATGGAATTATTTTTTTAAAGCGGTGCGCCTGCAATTCTATTTGGAGTATAAGCAGCCGGTTAGTTTTTAAACATTTTCAGTAATATATATAAACGACTTTGCGCGGAATGGTAGAGTTGTGTGTATGATGAACTTACTGTCCAAGGGCATTCCCGCCTTGAGTATTAATTTAATTTGATATTTAATAAATTTAATAATATAATAAATAGCCAAGAATGTACAAACGACTTCACGCCAGACCCTTGATGAAAGCACCACTTTATATGAACTCATCTGAATGAAGTTCACCTTGATATAACCGTAAATTCTATACTTTATACGTATTCCTAATAACTCATTTCACCATACACCGAGTATCAAAGGCAAATTCGGCTTAACTCGGACAGAGTCATAATCAAATGTTTGCTCTTTGTTGTCGCGTTGCGGCCCGTTCTTCCAAAGAAAATACCAGCGGATCTACTTAAGAAATTCTTATTTAAAACAAAAGTTATCTTCTAGAATATCAATTAGTAGATAACCTTAAAGACCTGCTTAGATTGTACCGACAGCATGCACTTGCCTGTCTTGACATGCGCATTCAGTTGACTTCTTGTCGGCAATACTATAGCCCGCGTTCACTTTGGTCTGTGGAAATGAGAATGAATGGAATAATAGTGACCCTCTTATGCAACCAATGATGTACTTGTTTTGATCGATGGCACTGAGTTGACAATCATTTTCGTCCACAGACTGCCAACAAAATGGGTTCGCAAAGAATGTAAAAATTAACCGGAACCATGTACCGAAATGCAGACGCGACACTCACAGGAATCGTTCTCTTTTCCTTCCCAAAATGTTCTAATTACTGCGGTTTTCGTTATTCTGTGAACTCGGTAGTTGCGAGCTGCACGTTGAAATTTGGTTTTTCGCTGCCGTCAATCAAAAATAATCAGTCAATATCTTTTTAATTTATGTTCTTGGCTGGTTGCAGTAAAAAATTTCACAACAAACCGTTGAGATGTCCGAGTTCGCAGAATATCGATGAAACCGCAGTAAAAAGTAGAATTTGTCAGAGACTGTTTTTAGATAAAAATAAAATAAAAAATCAGAGGACCATACTTTTTGAAAACCTATCCTCGACCTATTCAGTGCACGTAAACGTCTCGTAAAAAAATCAAACTCGAGGTATTAATTTCTCATCCTTTAAGACTCTTATAGAAGTTTTTTAAACACTTAAAAGAGATAATTTGTTTTTGAAACTTTTAGTGGTAAAAGTACAAGTAAGTACCTCTCTTTGATTAGGGTCGCAAACTTGGACGCAAACTCGCAACCTAAAATCCATCGTTTGTTTTATTAAGTGTATAATATAAGTGAACTTTTGGGGTATTTTTGGATTCACTGTATATAACAATTGTGTGTAAGAATAACGATTGTGAGTGGTCCTCAGCGATTTCTTTAATGAAACAAGAGATTAATTTTCATATGCATTTCAATCACACAAAAAACGTTTTTCTTTTACTAGATAACAATATTTAAGGTCCTGCCTCAGAATAAAAACATAAATCAGAGACCACTTAAAAATTGAGGTCACGTGATCATCATAAGGAATCATTACTGGACTACCTGTGTTAATTGTTCACAAGGAATCATTACTGGACTATCTGTGTTAATTGGTCACAAGGAATCATTACTGGACTACCTGTGTTAATTGGTCACAAGGAATCATTACTGGACTACCTGTGGCTGGCACAAGGAATCATTACTGGACTACCTGTGGCTGGCACAAGGAATCATTACTGGACTACCTGTGGCTGACACAAGGAATCATTTCTAGACTACCTGTGACACAAGAAATCTCTACTGGACTACCTTTGTTTATCGAGCCAATCAATTTCGAATTGGCAATTTGCATAGGAAATGATTTACGTCATCTCACATGCAGTGGCGGATCCAGGGGAGGGGTGCAGGGGGCGCGCACCAATACCTGGTTCGACTTTGTGCCCCTACTTCAAAGATTTAACCAATACAAAATCATGTTTCTTTCCCTTTGATTATAAGGGGTTCACCCCTCCCTGAGTTAACTATGTGCGCTGCACCCCTCCCTGAACAAATTCCTGGATCCGCCCCTGACATGGATCGTTTGTATGATGACGTCACGTACTACATATCATTACCAGAATGCTTAGTTAGAAGGCAGAAAATTCTCTCGGGAAATTAAAGATGATTTCGTAACATATGCCATATTGGAAACGAAAGTAAGAAAAGCTGAAAAAAGTCTTGAATTTTTTGTATCATACTTGTTTATATATATTTTATATGTTTTAATATTAACTTAAATTATTTAGCTTGCCTTGTTGAACGTTGTCTTATTTACTTTCAGTCCTTTACAATTCCTTGAGTATTATTTCTTTTTATTTTGAATTCTATACGGTTTTTAATAAAATAGGATGAATTCCTCATAAAGTAAACCACCACGAAATCCTGCTTACCTAAGGTGGCCAAAGTGTTTACCTTAGGCGTTCAGTTCAACGTGAAGTACTTCTCTATTGATTCCAGGTCCCTCAAATAAGGCTTTTCGAATTCGTACTAAGACGCTGGGTTCACTGACTGCGGGCGCACACAGGCAGGGTCAGCCTCGTTTGAGTGTCACAATAATCTCATATACCAACAGCGAGTAAAAAATGTATAACTTCGAGAGAAAAAACGTTTACGCACCTAAATTGAATCGAAGAAAAAACGAGGCTAATCCTGCCTCACACTGGTCAGTTACGTGACTCTGTCGAACCGCAAAGAAAATATATGATATTAGATGTCTATAGTTTGTCTAACTAATCCTAAAAACGTAGCATAGATGGAAATTGGAACAACCTTCTCAATGTTAATGTCCTCAATGTCTCTTAACGCCAATTGAAAAATCGAAGAAAAAATCACAGTTTAATTTGATCAAATGGTTTGAAGTGAAGCTCTACTTGACCAATTAGCTGAAGCCAATGACATCATTCTTGAAATAAGACACCTCTCCTTCCAACCAATCAGCTATCAGTAAATAAGTCACATGACAGGGCAGTTTTTTCCTTCCTTGTAAGGATTCCCCGACGGCGAGCCTCCTTGAAGCAGATAATCATTTTTGGCGTGTTCTAAGCAATAATTCATTAAGTCCGTACAGGCTCGCGATACCTTGATTCGCTGTATACCGGCGTGTCCTCGTAGAACCTTGACTGTCTCTCTTAGGGCCGCCTTGTTGGCTGGCAGAGAGTTGTTACTTGCTGAAGACATTTCGTACAAATGAAAGAAATCTAAAAGGAAAGGAAAATAACTCATTAGATTACAGGTGCAAAACACTGCGAACACCAGGTACAGTGACGTCACGATGATGTAATGATGATGTCATAGACTCGTCATGGTTACATCTGGTCAAGGAAGTAACCGGCTGGCTTTTAGATGTATTCAAAGTCATTGAGCTGAATACGACATATTGAGCTCATTTGCTCCGTTTCGGCAAACTTGCTTTATGCCTTCAGGGAACTACCCTGGGCTCCAGAGGTTCTATTCGCTTTTCCCGGAACACTGAACGAGCGAGCGCCGAAGTCAACACAGTAAATGACGGAGCGAGAACGCAATAACCTCTGGGCCCCAGGGTATCAGGGAACGTGCGGGGGAAAAAATTGCTAATTAATCTTCYGATAAAAAAAGACCAAGCTGGAATATCTCAACAAAAGACGTTAAAAAGAGTGAAATGCAACATATCGTGCTCATTTGCTCCGTTTCGGCAAACTTGCTTTGTGCCTTCAGAGAACGTGCTGAACTGTTAATGAGTTTTCTGATTAAAAAAGGCCAAGCTGGAGAATCTTAACAAATAGCAAAAAAAAAAAAAGAAAAAAAAAAGTGAAATGCACGCTGTGCTCAATTAAAAGTAGTACATATTAAGAGTACAGCTCTTTATGCTTTCAATAGTGTTTTGATATTCCTTTCACAAGATATAGTCTATTCTTTTCCACGTTTGACGTCAATCATATCGAACGTCTGCGTCAAATCGCAATTCTATTTATAATTCAACTGAAAGAAAGTAGAGAGTAATTGAAAAATTCCGCCTATGACGTCAAGCGCTGATAGCAATGCATTGTAGGATATAGTACTTGTTTCATCCTCGCCCCCCTGATGGTATTGACTTAATTATCTTAAAAAGCGTTTGAGGGGGAAATTCCCCCGAGTGCTAAAAAGCCGTGAACGAAAAAATGCGCCGCTTTGTGAAAAACCGTTCAATTTATTATATTTGTATCATATTTCTTATCATAACTGTATTTACTAAATTATCATTATTATATTTTTGTATTATTATTATTATATATATCATTATAGTTATATCATTATCTGATCATATTCGTTGTAATATTATTTGAACAACATATCATTATTAATATTATTGACCATTTTATTGAACTCCTTGAATCTAAAAAAAAACTTTATCATTATTATTATTAGTTTTATTATTATTATTACTATTATATTATCATAATAATTATTATAATTATATTATTATTA